CGTCCCGTCCCCGTCCCACCACCACACACACACACACACACACACACACACACACACACACACACACACACACACACACACACACATACATACACATACACACACACACACACATACACATACAACACATACACATACACATACAAGCCCAGCACAATCCCACCCATGCACACACGCATCCCCCCCTCCCCCTCCCCTCCCCTCCCCTCCCCTCCCCTCCCTGCATCCCACCCTCACTCCCTCCCCACCCCCCCCCCCACCCCCACCCCCCCACCCACCCACCCTCCCACCCAGGCACCTCGCCAACATCGGCACCCCCTCCGGTCCAGTCTCCCAGCACCCAGGCTATGCCAAGCGGGTGTTCACAGTCTCTGACAACGGTGTTGTGGCTGCTGTCTCCACCCGGACAGGCGAGTCGCTCTGGCGGGTCGTCCTCCCTTCGGCTGCCCCCTCGTCCGCTCCTCCGCTCGCCACCGACCTCTCCGCCTACTCGGTCGTCCCCTCTATCGGCACATACGTCCCTGTCATCGCCCGTCACCTCGCCCGCCTCATCGTCCTGGATGGCTCATCGGGTCGCACTCGCTTTGCCTTCCCGGCCCACCTCCCACTCGCCGCCGACTCGGCTGTCGTGGCTGCTGCCTCGGTAGGCGTCAACACCATCGCCATTCTCACTCCCTCAGAGCTGGTCATGGTCGACGCCGTCAAGGGCAAGGTCCTCGCCCGCCGTGATGTCCTCGGTCTCGATCCGCTCAGCAAGGTGGTTCTCGCCTGCGCTGCCGACGCTTCCGCCTGCGCTGTCTTTGCCGCCTCTGCTGATGGCGGCCTCGCTGGTGCCAGCTTTGCTCTTGGCGCGGGTACGAGCATGCCGGCCGGCTCTACCACGCTTCGTCCACTTGCTGGCTCTGTCGCTCCTGTCGAGAGTCTCCACGTCTCGGGCTCGGGCGACGTGCTCGCTGTCGGCGGCGACGGCACCCTCGCCGCGCTCTCGTGCTCCTCGGGCAAGGCGAGCTCGTGCGCAGCGCGGAGCATCGCGCTCGATGCCCCGCTCGCCCTTCCTGCCACTGTCTCGCCGTCGCCGGTGGCCAAGGCCTCGCTGCGCCACGGTCTGTTTGCGGTGGTCGATAGCGCGGGTGCTGCGCTTGTGGTCGCCGCCAAGGACGCCACCGCCCTACCGGGCAACACGGCGGCAGCCGGGGTCGGCCTCGCCAAGGACGGCACCGTCTACGTCGCCGCCGCAAGCTCGGACCCGGTATCGGGCGCGCTCACCCTCGCCGTCTACGACACCCACGGCCTGCCGCTCGCCAACTTTGCCCTCGACGCGCCGCAGCTGGCCGCGTCGGCAGCCGGCCTGCCGCGCTTTGTCTCGCCGCTCGTGTACGCCACCAAGTCAGGCAGTGTCTCGCTGCGGCTGATGGTGACGACAACCGGCGGCACCGTCGCCATCGTCAAGGCTTCGCTCAACTCCGCCAAGCCGCCGACGCTCGCCTGGCTCCGCCACGAGGGCCTCGCCTCTGTCGTCGATTCGGCCTTTTGCGAGCTCCCGGCGCCCGCCGGCTCGGCCGACGAAGAGGCCGAGCTCCACTCGGCGCTGGGCATCGGCGGCGGAGCTTCGCCCGGCCCGCTGCCTCTTGTCTCGCAAGCTCTCGCCCGCCTCTCGTACCAGGCCGCCCGCGTCGTCCCGGGTCTTGTTCACGCCGCCGAGCAGGCCGTCGATGCCATCGGCGCCGTCTTTGGCCGCGATCCGACGGCGCTCCCGCCCACCTCGTCCGACGGCACCCTCGCTGCCGACCTGTTTGGCTTCAACAAGGCCATTGTCCTCGCGTCGAGCTCCGGCCTTGTCGCCGGTGTCACCACGGCCTCGCCCATCCCGCGCTGGACAGCGTTTTTGCCAACGCCGACGCGATCGCTGTCCTCCCGGTCCCGGGCGCGCCGCTTGACGTCCTCGTTGTCGCCAGCTCGGCGTCGACCCAATCGTCGCGTGCCGTCCGGCTCGTCGCCGCCACCGGCGCCATTGTCGCCGCCGTCGACCTGCCCTTTGCTGCCACCACCGTTGTCGACGCGGCAGGCACGCCCGCCTCCCCCGCCCTCGCTGCCGCCCTCGGCCGCCCGCTTGACGGCGTCGTCCTAGTCATCGACGCCGCAGGCGCGCCGCACCTCGTCGCCGCCGCACCGTCGCTCGCTGAGCTCGCCGTCCCGGGCCTCGCCGCCTCGCTCGCCGACCACGTCTACATGCACAAGATCACCGCCGACGCCGTGGTCGGCCTCGGCTACGACAAGGCCTCGGGTGAGCTCGTCAAGACCTGGGCGGTCGCTGTTCCGCAAGGCGCCTCGGTCGCCGCTGTCGCCACCGGCCTCGCCGGTGGTGCCGTCGCCTCGCCGGCCGTCGTCCTCCCGGACGAGACCGTCCTCTACCGGTACCTCAACCCGCACCTGGTCGCCTTTGCCGTCGCCTCGCCGGCAACCAGCACCCTCCGCATCGTTGCCGTCGACGGCGTGTCGGGCTCGACCGTCGTCGACGTCCGTATCGCCTACGCCGCGCCGCCGACCGCCCTCGCCATCGTCGACAACGCCCTCGTCTACTCGTATTACAACACCCGCGACGCCCGCTTCGAGCTCGGCGTGACCGACATGTTCGAGCCCGAGTACGTCGACCACTCGTCGTACAACGCCACGCTCGAGCCGGTCGCGCTCCCGCCGCCGGCGCTCGCCTCGGCGGCTTTCCTCTCGCCCACGCCGTTTGTGGCTATGGGTGCCTCGGCCACCGCCCTCGGCATCACCGGCAAGGACGTCCTCCTCTACGCCCCGCATCGCGGCGTCTACGCCCTCTCGCGCCGCCTCCTCGACGGCCGCCGCCTCGCCCCGCCGGCCCAGCCCGCGCCGGGCACCGTCGCCTACGAGTACAGCCTTCCGCTCGGCCTCACCCAGCTCCTCTCGCACGCACGCCAGGTCGAGGGCATCACCACCATCGTCGCCGCGCCCTGCGAGCTCGAGTCGCACTCGCTCGTTCTCGCCTACGGCTCGCCCGACGTCTTCTTTACCCGCGTCGCCCCTTCCGGCGAGTTTGACCTCCTCGGCGACGCCTTCCAGTACGGCGGCCTCATGCTTACCATGGTCGCCCTCCCGCTCGGCATGTTTGTCCTCAAGTCGCTTGTCGAGCGCAAGGACCTCGCCGCCAAGTGGTAAAGCCAGCAACGACATCGATGCACAGCTTGCTTGCCAGCCAGCTTGCTAGGCTAGCCAGTACGGCCGCTCACTCAAACTCAAACACCACCGCGCCCGTAAAGGCGGCGACGTAGACCGCCACTAGGTAGAAGCCGTACTTGGGGACAACCGTGAATCGGTTGAGCGGGATAAATAGTGCCGACGAGGCGAGCGAGACCATGAGCCCGATGACCGCCGTTGCCACAGACCCGTTGAGCGAGACGTGGAACGGCTCGCCCGTCCGGGTGATGGTGACCGTGAGAGAAAAGCCAACACCGATGAGCAGATTGAGAAGCGGCGAGGCGAGAATGGCGCCGACCGCCATCTGGCCCATTCCGCCCTTGGCCACCGCGTAGTCGGCAACCAGGTCGCCGAGCGAGTTGCCCCACGCCAGGACCGAGATGCCGAGCATCGCGTCAGAGATGCCGACAATGGTGCCAAACGCTGCAAGCAAGTCCACAAGCTCGTTGGCAATGATCGAGATCCACGAGACAGCCGCCACAAAGGCAAGAAAGGCAAAGAACGGTCGTGCAACCGGCTCGCCGCAATGCCGCCGCTGTGCCCAGAACACAACTGCCGAACACACCAGCCCGCCGCAACCGACAACGACAAGGAGCGGGACTGGGCCGACGGTCGCCTGCATCGCAGGCAACCCGCCAAACGCCACCACCGCGAGCACAAGCGCAGTCGTCGGCGTCACCACGCAGCCCCAGAACGACCACTCGCCGTCGTCCACCATCGGCACCGTCAGCCGCAGCAGCAGGTGCGCCGTCAGCGAGCCGAGCGAGACCAGCCGCCCGAGCCATCCGGCCTCGCGCCACGCCTCGATCAGTGAGCCGAGCATCGACCGCGACCCACTCTTCGCCATCCACACCCCCTCCTCCACTTCGTCGTCGTCGTCGCTCCCGCCGGCATTGATGAACGTCTCGACGAGCAGCGACGCCGACGGATCGCTACTCTGGGCAGCGGCAGCTTTGGTCTTGCTTGGCGCGGGAGCAACAGGATGATGGCCGGCCTCGGCCAGCTGCGCCGCGTACCGGACCGAGTGCGGATTGTGGGACGACATAAGGGCCTTGACGTCGCGCGGCCGCTGGGTACCCGCCGCGATGCGCTCGGCCTCGTCGTGGAGCATTCGCGACTTGGTCGCCGAGTCGCCGGCCTCGGCCGTCGCCTCCACCAGCGGCTGCTGCAGCGACGCACCGAGCGCCGCCGCCGTCGGCACCACCAGCAGCGAGCTGAGCACCGTCTTGCGGGACCGCTTGTGCATGACGTACACCATGCGGCCGAGAACAACCACTACCACGTACACTCCATACAGCGCCACAAAGCCGATCGACTCCCAAAGGTGGACCTTGCCATTGGCAAGCATGGCAAAGAACCACGCCGCAGCCACCAGATACGTCACAATGTCGCGGAGAAACGGCCGCCGGGTGACCGAGAATGTGCCGGCAAACGCCACCGCAGCCATCACCACCGTCGTGACAAACAGGCCAGCGCCCGAGAGCGCACCAAACGCAATGTTTGCCGTCGACTCGCGCTGCAGCGCAACATACGCTGACGAGATGTCCGGCGCGCCGTTGGCAAGCGCAAGGAGCGTGACGCCGGCCACGTTGTCCGAAAGCCGCATGGCGTCAGACACCACCTTGAGCGCAGGACAGAGGTAGTCGTCGGCCGAGACGCCGAGAAAGATGAAGAGGAACAGCAGCCATCCGAGGAAGAGCGCAATCGCCAGCGGCCGCAAGTGACCAAAGTCGCAAAAGTAGACCGAGAGGTAGTCGATGTACCCATCGCCCGGATCGCACGCGTTGTGCACATACCCACACTCGTCTTCGTGCCGCGTGATGTGCTCGCAGGTCTCCGGAGGCGGTGATGGCGGCGGCGGCGGTGATGAACCCGGTGCCAAGTCACCACCGCCTGCCATAGCAGCACCAGCAGCCGCACCTGCGCCCGATGGCGAATTTTCCCAACGCTCTGAAGTGCCCGACCCAACAGAGCCTCCCAGCCAGCCCATCAGAGCACGGCCACCAGTCACACGACCAGCATGACCACCTTGTGCGGCATGGACACCACTACTCCCGTGACCGCTCTCCTCCACGAGCTGGACCAGTCCGCCCATGGTGAAGACAACTGCAATGACCACAGCCAGAATGGCCACCTTTATCCGCTGCTTGGTCGGGAAGACCTGCATGACCGTAGGGGGGGGGGGGGGGGGGGGGAGGGGAGTGAGGTGTCGCCTGCAAGCCAGCTCGGTGCCCGTCTCGGCCTGTGACGGCTGCATGTGGTTGGTCACGCGGCTTACGGGCGAAAACAGTGTGGCTTGTCTCGTGACCTGGTGGCGAGAGGGAAAATATTTTCAAGTGGCGGGAGGCATGGTGGTTGTGGGGTCGGAATGAGGAGAGAAGGGGGGTAGGGGCGGCGGAAAAGGAGTGGAGGTGGGGGAAAGGAAGGAGGAGAGAGAGAGAGAGAGAGAGAGGAAGGGGGGAGGGGGGAGGGGGGGGGGGGGGGGGGGGGAGGGGGTGCGTGGAGTGTGTACTGT